AGAGAAAGAGAAAGATAGGACCGGACGGAATGCAATTATTTAGAGGGGTAACGCGAGAGATGTAATCGTTTCCTCGGGTTTCGCGCTGACGCCGCGGTTAAAGAGCACGAATCCGTCCGAATCGAGATGAAAAGAAGCAACGGTGGCCGGACGGGCCAGCGGCGAGAGAAAGAAATTTAATTGGATCGGACAAAACGTGGCCAACGGCATTTCGGTACACGGGCCGGAGGGGGCCAGCTTGCGTCTGCCATTTTCAGCTCCGTTGAACTTAATTGAGCCAGCCTCATAGATCCGGGCCGTGCTGCACTCGACGCGCTTCGCAAAGCAAAGCTATAATGCCCTGCCTTTTCTGACCTGTGGAATACACGTCACTGTGAAATCCACCGTGATTTTCCACCTCTCAAACAGGATAATTGACTTTAAACACGGCCCGTTTGATAAGATCGGTCGCAACAATCGGCCTGAAAACGCGAAGGGGATCGCGATCGATCACGCGAACTCGCTCGGAGCTCGAATCTGATCAACTCAAACAAAATGGAACCTTGTTCGCAAAGGAAGATGTGCACGTGTACTGTTGAAGCTCAGACAGCTTTAGGAAAACGGAAGAAACCTCAGTCCAGGCATTCTCCATCTGAGTCTGTTCTGATTTAAAATTTATTAGTATGAGGATTCTTCTGAACTTTTTCTGAATTTTTTTTTGATAAATTCAAAAGATTATAATTACAGGTACGTCCCTTTTTCATGCTGGTAAGAGGTCTGAACGGCCGCCACGCTCGGTCACTTTAGTTGCTCGAGAGATCAAAAAATATTGTTTGCACGAAATTAAATTTGAGGCAGAGAGAATCGTTCGTGTCAGTCGCAGTCATAAGCGTACGCGGCTCAACGTGTACTTTCGTCTCGTTCACACCGGTTTCGTTCCACTGTCTATTTATTTCCTCGTTCCCGATCGCACGGAATCGACAGCGCGATATCGAACTGCAGTTATCAAGTGATTCATAATCACGATCATTGGCAAACGTTCGGCTGTGGAATAACTCTCGGGTGGAGAGGCAGAGCTCAACGAACGTGAACGACGTCATTCCGGTGAAAATGGCCAAGGCTCCGACGTGGAAATGGCGTGGTCTCCTCCGACGAATGGCGGTCGTTTCGCCGCAGTGAGCGCCGATTTCTCCGGACCGACTGAATATTTATCTCCCCGGGGATTCGTAACACGATAGACCGACCCGATTGCCTTAATTCGCCGCGCGAATTCGTGAATTTTTCAATCGTGTCGGCGGATTTACACGACGCGCGAGGCTGCGCGCAGGTGATTTCAATCTGTTGCCGTTCCCACGGTTTCTTTCGGCTGACCACCGGACGGTTGGCTCCACGAAACTGAAGAACGTTGTTATTCATGGTTTCATGAATTTTCGTGCTCGACGGCGCGCACTCCGCGCGCGGCTGCTCTCGTTACGTTGCGACGGAGGAGTCTGCGTGAGCAAGCCGTCCGTTCCGTTTCCTCCTTTTCGTTCTCCCGGCGGAGAGCAAGAAACGAGGGGAAAGAGATGGAAAATAAGAGAAAAGAGAAAGGGGAAGAAGAGAAACGAGATGAATTTTTCATTAAGAAAGCCGCGAGTGTAAACGCACGGTTGAAAATGAAGGAGAAGACAGAAGGGGGGAAAAAAATATTCCGTAACCGTGAACCGTGAAATTCGCCCGTGGAACGGCGGCAGGGTCTGGAGGAGTGGTGTCGGTGGCCCACTAACGTTTGACGTCACCGCGAGAGACTTCGCCTCTCCTTCCTCGTCGCCAACCCGGTTTTTCTCCCTTCTTGGCAGAGAATGGAAGCGGCGTGACCAGGTGACCGATAATACGGAACAGAGTCGAGAACAGGCGGCGGAGAAACGCGCGACGGTTTCAAGGATGCGGAAGAATCGACCTCGTCGCCTTTCGCTAACTAATCATCCGGGCGAATTTCCTCCACCCCGTGCGGCCAGGTGAAGCTCGTTTCTCGATCGTAGATGAAAACTGAGAGTGAGAAGAAAAAAAACGAAAAACTCGATCGAGCATCGAATTTTTTTGCTAATACGGCTCGTTATTCCGCGTGTTTGCCCGATAACGACGCCCGCCTCGTACCTTGCCAATCGTCGCTTTTCAATCTTTTTGTAGAGCCGGCTCGCTGGAGTAAACAAGCGGAGAGAGAAAAAGCGGCGGCCCGAGCCACCGAGTGGTGTCACACTTTCGAGACCGCCCTCGCGCAAAGGCATTATGCAAACCGGCGAGAACGGCCAACGCTCGAGGAGAAGGAAAGATCAAACGGCCACTGTTCAAAGATTGAAGTTTACTAGCGCTAATCGCTTCGCGGTGAGCTTCAAACGCAAAATACGTATTCCGCTTCGACTTTGAAGTGAAATTACTGGCCGTCTGGAAGGAAAGAAGTTTCGAATTTGATTTAAAACGAAACACGCCAATAACGTTAAACGAGAAACTCGTGACAAACCGCGCAGTAAAGCCGATTCGTAACCACGTATCACGGTCTACGTATGTATATACGAACGAGGGGGAATTCGTTACTTTTGCGCCCGAAACAACAAATGGAATCTGCTAGACTGGAACAAGCTGCGGCGAAATACGATACCAGATATTACCAGAGGGTGCGGTAGAATACCGGTGGTCAACTAGGCAGATCTACTAGGTAGTTTCATCGTAGTCCCACTCCTGATAAAGTCCAAAATAACTCTGGCTTCGTCAGTTTACTTTAATAATTACTCGCGTATCACCCAGCTGCTATCAGAGAGCTCGATTTATCACGGATTTGATGAAAGATTCGCCGAATATCACGCTAGTCAGTCTCTAACTTGTTAATACGATTGTCTCTTGGATCAGAAATTTCTACAACCGTGCGAAGCGAACAGTTAATCTTTTCAGCGCGAAGGAAAGTAATCTTGCCGAGGCAAACTGACTCGTAGTCTGAGTAAAGATTAAGGAAAGTATTAAAAAAATTTTGTTTCAAGCGAAAGCTACGAGACTTGTTAAAAAGTAAAGAGCCACTGTACTTCGAAAGACAGATAAAGAATTATTCTATCGAACATATATATATATATAAATTTATATATCGAATATATATATATATATATATATATATATATATAAATCGTTGTTCGCCACTGAAAGAGTCATTTAAAGAAAATGAATCAGAGATACATATATTCGATCTTTGCGCAATTCGATCCTGCGATAAAAGACGAATAACAAAGTCAACGATAGATAAATTAAATGCAAACAAAAGGCCCGAGAGTGTCTCAGAGTGACAAAGATGTTATTGCGCGAGAGTCGAACGAGCTTCGTTCAAGGGCAGTGTTCCATTTTACTCCGGCGTGTTCCAGGCAGAGACGGCGAACGTAAATTAAATGGAATTAGACGCCAACCCGCGTGTAATACACACGCTCGTATTTCACGTTCTACGCGTCACTTTTAAGCGGAACGCCGCGTCGTCGCTCTCGCATTTGCAGAACGGCACGGCGTAACCCAGTTCTGGCACGCGTGTCGTCCGTACGTGGCGCGTGACCGTAAAAGTTATTATGTGGGAACCCGGCGTAACCCGACTTTCTGCCCTCTCCGCGATCCGTGATCGAAAGTTTCGCAGAACGTGGAAATTACATTCATTCGGTAGTCACGGTTTCACGCGAAACACACTGTAAGAAGAGCACGTTGTTGCGAAGAAACAACTCGGTAAAAATCAATCTCGTACATTTTGTTAAATTGAACGAGCAATGCTTTTTCCCACCGCGAAAGTTATCCCGCTGAATTCATCCCCTTTGAGCCAAGAATTCAATGAATTCTACTTTCTCTTTGCTCGTCGCGTCGCTGGTAATGCTTTTCCATGAATGAACGTTCTGTCATTTTTTGAATGATATATAGCGAAAATTTTCGGAAATTTGTAAATTATCATTGTTAGGTCTCTAAAGCATATATAAACGTACGTATATTTCACAGAGATCACGGAACAATCAATTATCAATTATGTATTATATCGATAAATCTCGACATTCGATGGAAACATATTCAACATTTATACGCTCACGATATATTGCCTGGAACAAATAGTCCGTAATTTATATTTCTTCAAATCGAAATTTTACCGACGTATAATTAAAATTGTTTCCCTGTAAAAGCGGGAAATGTAATTTATCGTGTTCATCGATTGCGATCCGTATAATTCATATAAATACGAAATCGCCCTCGAAATTTCCCTCGCTGCTTATTGTTTTTCGTTCGTATAATAGACACTCGTATCTAGATAATGGGGCTCAGTTCGATTAATCGGACATTAACTAAAATTTCGTTCCAATCAGTGGACTTCGGATAAATGGAGTTCTACTGTATTCGATGCACAGAAGCTGTTGTGTTCATTAAATTTTACAATCCCCATCCAACCGTTTTATTTCTATCGTGCAATTTTATCGTAATTTTTAATTAACGATTGATAACGCTAAATGTACCGTTTAGCGAAGCATATTATTCCGCGCGAAAGCGTCATGAAAATTATTGAAAAAAGAAGCTTCACAAAACGATCGCGCATTTCACTCGTTCGAACGACGAGAAAAAGTTTGGAAAAATTATCGGAGAAACTTTGCGAGTTGATAGCTGTGTTCGTTCATTAGTTGAAACGACGAAACGTCGCGCGACGAATCCCTTTTGTTAACATCTTCCTGATGGGATATTTGAAATGAAGTGTAAGGAATATTATTTTTATATGTGTGTGTGTGTGTGTGTGTGTGTTATAAATAAGTTTTGTTGTCGCAGTATTATAATTTTATGGCAATTTTATGAGACTGACCAAATTTACGGGTACCAAATTCCTAATTTGTAATTTTCTAAATGATCAAATTCCTAATTCACTACGCTGGGTTGGAGCACATATAATACTTAGGCCTCAGCACTCTTGATCAACTACGAAAAGCGCGAAAGGGCGCTGCGTGACAAAATGGCCATTTTACGTTTATCCGTTTCTGTTGCAGCTTTCGGAGGATATCGGCTACGTACTTTACTCCGCGCTCGGCAGCTTCTACATCCCGTCATGCATCATGGTGTTTGTGTACATACGTATATACTTCGCGGCGAAGGCCCGTGCGCGCCGCGGCATCCGGAAGCAGCCACGTCCGCGCGCAGTGGTGCCACCCGAGTCGCCGGATGTCAGGCAGACCAGCTTCACGCAAAGCACGCCGGCCACCGAATCGAAAAAGCCGCCCGGTTCCGCGATGGAGAACGTCGCCACCATCGAGAACCAGCCCGTGCAAATCCCCATTGTCACCTGCGACTTTGCCAGCGACGTTAGCACGTCCGAAGCGGATCCTGGCGGGGGTAGCAGCATCCCCATGGAGGAGAAGGACACGCTGAAGGTTACTGGCTTTATTCATTTCGAACGACGTTTCTTGTTTGAATAACTACGCATTGTGTGCGACTATCTGCGCAGCTCAATAATGCAAAACGAAATATATGGGGGATACTGGATGTATCTAAAATAGTATACGTGACTTACACCAGGGTAAGTAGAAAAAAAGGATTCGTAACTTCTGAGGTAGATAGTCGATAGTCAAAATGAATTGAATAGTTTCAAGGTTATAAATACAGATTTTTTTTGTTTGAATGGTTGGGACGCATCTAATTTTTGACAGAGTACGTAATTCTTTAATACGACCGTGTCGAGCATGTATAAAAATGGAATGAGGACACGTAGGAAACTTCCAGTAATTAAAAAAAGAAAAAATTATAAGATAAACTGCTTATATATATAGTATAATAGCTTTCGCAGCGAAGAAATTCGTTTTTTCAAAGGAAACAAAAAATCGTTTATAGCTTCGAGCCTATTAATTTTTCGACTCATGTTTCTGGAACTTTCCTGAAGTTGTTTAAAAGTTATGAATCCTTTCTTCTATTCATCCTGTATAAAGTCTTCACGACCTAAATACTGTTCATGACTATCTTCGCAGCTCAAAAATGAAAAAGTAACCCGAGATGTATGCAAAATAAAGTGCTCTCTAGAATATACGGAGAATGATGCACTTAAATTTCGCTTCTTGTGAATTTATTCGAAAATAAGAGGATACCGTGATAAAGAATTAATCATACAATAAAGGTTTGTCTTGAAGGTTACTATCTATCATTGGATGCTCGCTATCAATAATTCGAAGATTTGTTACATAATCCCCTGTGACGAGGAATAAGATTATTGCAGTTGTCCAATAGATTGTCCATCAAAAATAAGCGAATGTTCAGATAGTTTTCGAACGACGTGCGGAGGTGTACACTTAACCTAATTGACGCGTTAAATTTTGAAACGAAGCTTCGTAAAACACAAGGCGGGAATCGCCTTACTTTCGTATAACTGTATAGAAAAATGCTTTCAAAGTGCTCTTTCTCTAAAAATTTCTTCCTTGTTCGAGAGAATTGGTGCAGAATGGATCGTACGGTACATATAACGACGTTTTTCTTTCCGACGGTTCGTCCCAAGATCAGATCATCTATCACGCTCGAGCTACGAACACGCATTTTATATTCCGCAACTGCTTGTACACACATGCTCGAACTCGGAGTCAAGCAAACATTAGCCTTTGTTACCCCGGGATACGAAGAAACCTGCGTTATCGGCTTGTTCAAACGTATTCCGGTCCGATACCCCATTCTCCGAAACTGGTCTCTTATTTTCCGTGAATTTCCCTCATCCACTCGCAAGTGGAACATGCCTCAAACATGTCGTCTTTTTCTAAGTGTGTAGCAGATCGTGCGATCTCGGATGGCACGAAACACGGGGGAAACACCTGTCTCCGTGCTCGAATCCCCAATACACTTACTCAATAACTTTTTCGAGGTCTGCGATCTGAATGCAGCATCATCCCTGTTTGGCGATACAGTCACGCGGTCTTCGAGATATCGCCGGTTCCGCCGGTGCAACGCATAAAAGAAGAAAAACTGCAAAAGTAAATCTCCAAAAAGTAGAAATTCGCTATTGGATTTCAGTCCTCTGCCCCTTCCCCCGTGGTACAAGGTTGTTCCACAGTGCAAACAGAATCGAATAAAAGTCCCGCGAATCGCGAGCACAATACTTTATCGCTCGAGTATCGAGATCGAATCGATCATGTACGTACGTACGTGCGCGTTTCTTGGAACCGCTGCTGCCGCGCGTTATGGCTGTCGCTCATAAACACGACGCATAAACCGACCTCGCGGAAATCGTTTGTTGTCGTTGAAGTACGTATGAAACGTTGATGGCGCAAGTACCGAGATAGATTTAGATTTATTCTTCGATCCTCATATCTTCAATTTTCACGGCCGTCTCGGCACGTGAAAGCCAGAAGTGTTCAGGTTTAAACGTTCTTTTACCAATGTCTGTTGAGCAGGTAACGGTCCCAGTCCCGGTGCAAAAGAGCAGCCTGAAGGCAACGCTGTCAGTAAACGGCGACGGCCAATCGAGCGTGCCGTCGCGAGGCAGGGCGCCCAGCGTCGGCATCGACGTCGACATGGTGTCAGAGTTCGACCCGTCGTCGTCGGACAGTGGCGTTGTATCCAGGTGTGCGGTGGTGAAGCCTCTGAAGATCCGACTCTGCCAGCCGATCTTCGGCCGTAAGAATCTCGGTAAGTTCAGAAGAGAGCACGGGGACGGAGGTCGTACGTCCGGCAAGGACGAGGCTGGCGTCGAGGGGAAGTCGTCGAAACCACGGGACCCGGAGAGAGAGAAGAGGAGACTGGCGAGAAAGAAGGAGAAACGAGCCACGCTGATACTCGGTTTCATCATGGGCAGCTTCATCGCCTGCTGGCTGCCGTTCTTCGTCCTCTATATCGCGAAACCTCTGTTCCCGCGCGTTGAAATACCTGGGCAGGCGTTCGTCATTGTGTTCTGGCTCGGCTACATGAACTCAGCGCTGAACCCATTCATCTACACCATCTTCAACAAGGACTTCCGCCGCGCGTTCCGCAGGATACTGTTCAAATAATCCCGCCGTTCCTGGACGAACGTTCCCGAACGTGATCCAGGCAACGCGAATAAAAATTCCCCTCGATCGGCGGATCAATCGCCGCTGCGAGCTGGAACGACGATAGAGGAGGGATCGGGCAACGTCTCCGAGCGAACAAGTTGAGAGAACGTCACGGCGTTCGAGGCGCGTTTGCACCAGAGGCGAGAGCCTTGGGAAATTCCGGCCAGACTGTAAAAACTCTCGCGGGATAGAAACTCATTGGAACTCGGGTCAGCCGGAATTGTCGTTAGACACGTTATCCTCGCACGGTGTTCGTGTCTAACGCGGCCTCGGAGAGTTCTCTCGCGCACGCAGCTGCGCGACGTTCCGATAACCAGTTCTTGCGAAGAAATCGCAAGGAAGCTGAGGAAATTCTGACAGCCCGTTTGCCGGTGACGACCATGAATCCTCTGCGAGACTGTCGTGGACTACCGGCGTATTTCAGCAACAGCTGCTGCTGCTGTTCCCTCGATCGGATACAACTTCCGACTGGTTGTCGATTCAATATGACACCGAGTAGAAGACAGATGGAACTTGGCGACAGCCAACCGCCACGAATACGAGAACTGCGAGAGCCGCTGATCGTGATTTCAAACTAATTGTATCGAGGGGAGAGGTGTCACGCGGAAAGTGTCAGGGACGTTTCTTTTCCTATACCCGACTCGAGAAGGGGCGAGTTTCGTTCGTCGTCGACAGTCGCGAGCTCTCTGTGTCCCACGTCCCTGAGAGAGTCGAACCTTTATCATCGAGACCACCTCGCCATCGTTCTTCGTCGGAGGAAGAAAATCGGACGAGGCTGATTGTCCACGGTTGTTCTTCCTTCTCCGAGTTCCTTCGACAGACGGCGCGCCATCATCCCAATTGTAAATTAAAAGTCGCGACAATCCACTTACTATCGATGTAAGTGAATGTAGATATGTATAGCATACGTGTACGTGTACGTGGGCGTGTATAATATGGCCGTCGCAGGAAGTTTCTGTTCTTCGATAGCATAGGTGACCAAGCGAGGCATATACGGTGTCTCGCGTTCGTTTCGCTTCGCTTCGAAATTCACCTGCTGTTCGATTGGATTCGTTCGCTCGCGCGAAACCGGCTCGAATAACCTCGACAATTTCCGGGAAGCGCGGGAACTATCGAGTAGAAAGTATCTTCTGGGAAGGGAAAATGGTGCCGTGTCGAGGATTGCGAAAGGGAGTCGAAGGGAATCGTACCCTGTTTCGTGCGTGGAACGAAAACTTTCGGAACGAGCTGCGTGCACGCGTCGCGGGTGTAATGATAATGCATAATGGTCTTATGATGTTATACACGCACACCGGGACACGATCTCGAAACGAGCACGAGTTCACGAGAGACGGTGATCGGAACGATCGTCACGTCGGACGAATGAAACTACGAAGAAAAGTAATACCGAAACGAAAGAGGCATGTTTCCTATCAAATAGGTACGCACCGTTTTATCCATAGGACCGATAACGCGGCTACGGTTTAATCGTGTAATCGTTTAATCACGACAGTTTTTTCGAATTCTATCGACTTAAATACGTGGTAAGGATGATGAAAACGTAACGATACGTATTATTATTAAAAGAAAAAAAACAAAAAAAAAAAAAAAACAAAAATAATAAAAAAATAAAGTAGGAGTTTCTCCAGTTTGGAAATCAAACGAGAGAACAGAGAAGAGAGAGAAGAAACACGGGGATGAAACGGGAAAGACTTTTCGAGATGATCGCTTTGCACGGCGTGAAAGGTCGGTCGAAATGAAATTAAAAATTTCTGCACGAGAGCAGGGATGAGGGGTAGGGTTTGCAACGTTTGCAACGCTGAGTTTTCAATTTGCCCGGCTTGAAATATAAAATCTGATTGCGACTCCGCACTGGCGAAACCGTGTTTAAAGATGAACGCGCAGCTATATTTGTTTATTGGCGCGGCGCGAAGCCGACACAGAGGAACGCTGTGCGGTTTCAATTATTACGCGGCATTACGCAATGTTTGCGCGCCAGGGTGCCAATTCGCGATCGGCCGCTTTATATTTAACACCTGCTGGCCTCACCAAGGCACCGAGTCCACCCTCGAAATCGATCAAACCGGCTTGGAACCCGCCACCCCCTTTTATTCGAGCGCGCAGCCAGTTTTACTTAATCGATTACCCTCGCCACGCGACCCCGTGGCGCGACAATTTTCCATCCAGTCCTTGTTTTCGATCGATCAGATTTACCGGGCAATTTTTATCGGTAAATATAATCTCGTTCAGCAAGTATTGGAATTTTCGTGAAAATGAAACATGATATTTAGTTACTATTAATTATAAATTGTCATTTGTTTATCCTGTTATTTGAGATAAACTTTCCCTGTTGAAACAATTTTTATTCAAACTTTAAAATTTCTTTGCCCCATGAGAAAAGTTAATTGATTAATTGACATTACGAATATACGCGAAAATGTGTATTATTCTGATAGTTTTTACAGAGAAGATATGTAACGCAATAAAATTTTCGTATCGTTGCATATAAGTAAGCATCCTGATGTATACGTACAAGTCTGTTTTTGATTTTAAAAATCGCAAGTGGCCACGGAGAATGTTACGTGAAATACGTGCACGGTTGGCACGTCTATCCCCTAACGGCGATTCGAAACAAATCAAAGAGCGTCAAAAGCGTTGCTCGTAAATCGAAAGCGGTCCAGCCATCGGAACAAATTTCGGGAAACAATTTCCACCGGTACTTTTTCACCGACGCGTTCAATCTGATCACTCTCTGTTTCGCAGATTAAAGATTATTCTCGCAGCCTGACCGCGACAAGTTTGAATATAAAAAAATCTACTTTCGGGATCTGTTTGTACCAGAACCTGACGGATCGAAATCCGCCTATTTTTCAATCGAGGACTAGGAGTCAAGAGCCATCGTACGTTTCGCGTGGCCAAATCTCTTTGCTTTCGCGCAACTTTCGGGATATTTCGTTCTCATTCAGCGACGGAGAGCATGTTTTTTTTTTTCGGAAAACGGTCGCCGTCCGAATCGCAAGCGCAGCATCGACATTATCGATAGACACCGGAGACTATCAGAGTCATCGAAATCATAGGTTCTCAAGTTTTCACAGACTACAACTTTTGCAGAACTTTTCGAACGATTTGACTCGCGAAACGTACGGATGAAAGCTCACGGTTATTTGTTTGTTTGTTTCAATTCCTTTGACGTTTCGAGTTTGATACTTTGATTGTCAATTTTTCACCAGAGATACCGTTCTCGCACGGCTTCCGTTTCGACCTTTTTTTCTTTCTTTTTTTCCGACGCGAGTTTCATATTTTTTGCCGTTCCGCGAACCAACGATTTCCAACAAAAATTCATGGAAAAAGAACAGCCGCAGAAACGAAACGTTCCCTGCATAACATTTATCCGCGGCACGCGAAATTCGAAACTAATTTACGAATTAGCCGCAGCCCCTTTACAGCCCCGCGTGTGTCACACGTGCACGCATCTACGTGACACGCAACGCGTTACAACGATAAATCAATAAAGCGTACGTGGTACGTAACACACGCGCGCGTTGCCTCTGTCCCTCTCCGACCAGGCTCGACGCGTTACAACGACAAACTGGGGCAAAGTGTCGAGACAGTACACGAACGAGAGGGTTCCTCGAGTGTGCAGAACCAATAAGAGACGTGCTGATAAGATTGCGACGTACGCGGGACGGATTATTAGCATAGCCGAGATCGATAGACCGTGCACACGCGACTACACACTGCTTCTTCTTCTTTCTCCAGCTGGATTTTTGCTTGCGAAAAGTGGAGATCGATGTTTTCGATAGATCGATTGTGCATCAAACTGTCGTACCTCGATGATTGTCAGGATTCGATCAAAAGATGCAAACGGTCGACTATCGAGCGGAATTTGGGCGGAAAAACGAGCAAGACTCGTCCACTCGTGGAAATTGATTTTAACTGACGCGGTTACTTTTGTTGCGTTTCGCGTGATAGTAGCGGTTCATACACGCCGAAATTAAGAGAAATACCAAAGATGCGTTTTCCTCTTGGTATTTGTTTTCTCCATTCGATATTTGTTTCCCCGCCGCGGTTTTTCAACCCTTCACGTGTTAATCCCTACGATCGTAAACCCGTCGCAGAGTATCGCAGCGCTTTATTATATGTACTTTGTGACGCGAAGTCCTGCGCAGGTTAGACGGCCGACTGTATCCTTGGAAATTTATCGCGCGCGAAATAAAAGCGAGAACGAGTGACGATCTCGCGAGATATTATGTTCTTGAAACGGAGCGCGTAAACGGAAGCCGTAACGGAGATGGTATACACGTAACCGAGTGGAATTTACGTTCGAAACCGCGAGGCCGGATACAATATTTCAAACGATCAAGCGCCGATACACGACTCCCCGTTGCTTTCTTTTCACCAACCCCACCCCTCTCGAGCGAGATACGTTTCGTCATCGTCGACGTCCCTTTTTTTCATTTCGTCCGTCTCTTTTTCACGATCTATTGATCTCGCGCCACGTTTACCGACCACGATCCGATCGGCGGGGGAATCGTCGAGCGGTCGCGGAGAGACGCGGAGCAATTTCGAGAGCTCGTCCCTTTTTCTCTTCTCCTTCTCTCCCCGTCGCTACTCCGACACCCCTTGCTCTATGCGATCTCGCGTTACGGAGAATTCCTCGTGTGAACCACCCTGCCGTGTTTCCTCCCGAAACAGCCAGAGGCCGATCGAGGATAATCGAAGCGGCGAAGGGTCGAAATAATATATACACGCAGCAATAGGAAGGAACAAACGAAAAAAAAAAAAAGATCGTCGAACATTTCTCATCGTTGTTAGCTTCAGACTTTTAATTAGAATCGATATTTAAGGTGTACGCGAAGTTCAGACAGCGAGACTTGATGTGATGTTTTCCTGTGTAAATCGAGTAAGCTCGTGTGATAGTAGGATTGAGATTCTCGGTCGAGAAGCTGAGTAATAAAGTTTAAGACGAGGCTAATTGTAAGTCGAGAGGGGAGAGAGAGAGAGAGAGAGGGAGAGAGGGAGAGAGAGAGAGACAGGAAGAAAAGAAAAAGGAAGTACCGTGAATCCGTAAAATGCAACGTACTAGGTAAATTACGACAACGTACTGTCGTTTTCCATTAAAATACTGTTTAACGAAACTACGTGTACGCGGCTCGATCTCGCCTTAGGCGGGCGACCGAACATTTTTTGCAATCCAAATTTTTCGATGAATCTCTCTGTGTGTCAGTACTTAGTTTACCTTACCATACGTACACACGATGTTAACGTAAGCGGATATAACGTAAGAGGACTTTACCAAAGAAATGACCTGAATCGCGCGAAGAGCGAATACGACGAAGAACGATTTCGATGGACTGATGTAAAAGAAAAATAAATAAAAAAGAAAGAGAGAAAGAAGAAACGAGGTGAAGGATATTTATTTAAGGGAAAAAAGAAAAAAAAAGCAAGGAAAACTATCATTCTAATTAAATATTACGCTCGTACCGTCTCTGAACCTAAGCGACACGCGACACGTTGTCACGAGATTAAAATAATTAAAATTAACGAAGACACGATACTTTGTATTTATACACGTTGTACACAGATATGTATATTGTTACTAATATTATTCTTATTATATTATTAACAGATTACCATTATTCTTATTATCGTTCTCATTATCGTTCTCGATTCTTATTACCATCGGCCATCATGTTCTTACGCATCGAGCAATCCAGCGTCGCCGCAGAGATCCAACAGATCGACCATTAATTATCGTTTCTACCCGTCGAGCGGCAGCACAACTACCCCTTTGTTCGGCCGAGATTCCGCAGTGGAGATCGTTCGTTACGTCCATGACGCCGATAACACCGATCTAACGATCTATTTACTTGATTCCAATCAAACTTTCCCCCCAAAATATCTCTCTTTCGGTCCATTCGAGTCGACGACACGGCGGCGAAAAGAGAGAGAGAGAGAGAGAGAGAGAGAGAGAGAGAGAGAGAGAGAGAGAGCCGCCCGAGCCGAGCCAAGCCAAGCCAAGCAGAGCCGAGCCGAGCGAGCGAACGGCGAGCTGCATCCAGTAAATTTACACAGTCATAACCAGACACTTTTATCGTTTCGATTCATCTTGCGGGAACGCAAACTTCGAAGATTCGTTCTCGTTCGTTGGAGAAGCAGGAGGCACCGGTATATTTCACTCCGAGAATCGCCCACGACTAAAAACTTGGATTAATTATCTCGGTAACCCAGTGTACGAGTTACTCGTCCCGTTTCTCCAACTTTCGTCAACTAGTAAGTAAAATTCGCCGTCGGGTAATACACCTCGTTAATAACGCCGTTGGTACCGAGAATTCCTGCACAGCTGAACGCAGTCAATTGAAATTCCAGCGCGTTTCGATGTAACGATAACTGCACACCTTTTCAAACACGTGCACACATACGTACGTACGCGCAGAGTCGGGTTCATAATTAATTCAAGCATCCTCCATTTCCGTGCCCCCTTTTAAGACCCGCGTCCTCTATTTGCCGGTTCAATTACCGTATCGCGATGCCGAAACGCGAACGCTCGGTATTGCCGACCGCTCAAAAACAATTTTCGATTTAATCCTGAAAGCGATACGTTTGCATCGCGTGTATATCTTTCTTGAAATGTACGCGGCGCAGGCCGGTCGCCGATTCGTTTATCCGCTGATATATCCAACGGATCATGCCTCGTCTATCGTGTATCGGCACGCGATACATACCGAGAACAATCGAACAGTTTTGTTCCTCCTTTTCCATTCGCGATTTTCGTTCGCACGGCAACGGAATAATCTTCAACGATCTCGCGCGACGACGCCGCGAAACGATCTCTATCGATAATATTGGAGCAATGAAAATCACTGTGATATCGCTAAAACGCTTTCAAGGTGTGCGTCTGGGTCGACAATTATCCCGCCGCGCTCGCCAGACTGAGCGTGATTAAGTTTCCCGATAAATGAAAAGCGACGGAAATAGGACTCAGATCAGGGCTTCTCGAACTTCTCCACCTTGGCGACACCTTTTACCCGAGCAAATATTTTCGCGACCCTGGTGTATACACAGATGTGTATATAAACTAGGAATACGAGTTAGAACGTTTGCTAATGACAAAGGAAATTTACCCGAAAGAAATTCTTTGGTATACATGTGAATATAATTTTACCATGTATTAAAAGACGAATACTCGTGCTAATTTTTTTTCAGTTTTGCCAAAATTTCTGCGACCCACACTTTGAGAAGTCCTGGACTAGATGATATTCGGTGGGAGGGGGTGGAGGGCTGAGAGCGAGAGAGAGAAAAGAGAAGGAAAATAGATGATTTATGGTATCGATTAAATTATCGGTGAATTATTGTAAATCATATTATATATTGTATATACGTATACATACTTATACATAATATATATATATATATACGAGTATACATATATAGGTGTGTATTACGGATGACTTAATATCATTAAAGACTACGGTCGTCGTATTACTATCGATTATTGTTAGCCGACACTATTATCGATGCAACAAGTTCTACAATCTGATAGCATTGATCGTCTGTCGCAGAGAGAGCGAGTGAACGAGCGAGCGAGCGAGAGAGAGAGAGAGAGAGAGAGAGAGAGAGAGAGAGAGAGAGAGAAAGTGCAGCCTACGCAGGATCAAAACCGAACGCGAAACGTATGTATAATACGGTAGCTGAACGATACTGAGCTGTTTGCGAACGATTGTTTTAGTGTACATAGGACGAATCGAGGGGCTTGGTCACCTTCGACTCGACTCGATTCGATTCGTGTCGAGTCGAGTCGAGTCGATCGCTCTTCACTCAAGACGTGACCAAAAACATGACTATCGGTTCCAGCTCGTTTCGAGCTTTTCTTCGAACTACTAACGTTTCTAGGTATAAGCGAACTATGCGCGGTTCTCTTCGACTTTATCATCGATCGTCGTAAAGAGAACATACGAAAAGTTTCGGAGAGAGAGAGAGAGAGAGAGAGAGAGAGATGTTTTAACTGTGTATTCAAAAAGAAAAAAAAGAGACGTTGAAAATTCTATTCTAGAGACAATAGCGAGAACGCGATTAAACGAAACGCCGATCAAATCAGTGATCGAGATGACCGGAAGAAGGGCGATCATTGCGAGGTGATAAACCGCGCGACGATATTGAAGTCGGTCGAAGGCACGCGGAATGGCTGCGACACTCACGTATGAAATTTAACGAGAGGATTCCCACCCCCAGTGGGATTCACTGTGCAGCGTACGTTTCATCGCCAGTTCGAGGCAATCGAAAAACAATTCCTCCCCCCCCCCCCCTGTCGCAGTGGTCGCTCTTCTTGGCCAGTGATCATCACGGATACGTGACAACGCGGGCGGAATCACCGCTTTTATTCTACCGCGTGCCTCGATCCGGAAAATGAAACCGTGCAAATCAACCGAAGGAAGATTACGCCGCGTCAAAGAGGTAATTAATAATTTGCCAATCGGAGATAATGAAATTTTAAACGGGATTCCGCCGGTTGATATTTGTCGTATTTCATGACCGTTTCGATCCGATCCGTGTATAATGACAGCCTAGCGAATCTATACGTCGCGATTTTCGGATCGAGGATTTCGCGCGTTGCTGGTCAGTATACGATCGAAAACTTGAATTCGATGGTTCGATTTAAATCTGAGATTTTCAGAGCCCGCGAAGCACGTTGTCGCGGCCGTGAGAAATAACCATCACGCGTCGATCGATCACTGCGAAAATGCTTGAACAATCAGAAGAATGGTAGTACCGATCATACCGCGGGACGAATACACTTTCGTTCGCGGATTTCTCGTCATCCATTCGAGCTTTCAGCTTGAACGCGAGGTCGTGTCGTTTCGGGTCGTTGTGCGAACATGCGAAATCCTCGTTCCAGATTTATTCTAAGCTACTACTGATTCCCGTGGAACGGGGTACGAAACCAACGCCAACGATCTCCTCCTCGTCGTCACACTGAATGGGAATGCACACGAACTCCAGATTCCAATGTAAGTGAAAAATCTCCACAATTACCTGTTAGTAGTCTACGTTAAGTATCATCGATAACTCGATAACTCGCCTATGTGTCGACCAGGCGTGACTTTCGTTTATTATTTTTTAACTGTGTACGTCTGATCGCGAGAGAGTGACTTGTCTCCGTAGTTGAAAGATGCGACAACTTTCCGTCGCGAGCATTAATTGTTCTCGATACTCGTTGTCTAGCGAATTGTAACATTCTCCGAACGGAACACACACTCGTCGACCCGTTCATCTGACGCTCGCTGCGTTTTACCGCTAGGAACGCGACACACACACACACACACACACACACACACACCGGCTGCACCAAACAACCGAACGAGCGATTCAACCAGAACGACTGAATCGAATTTTTGTACCGTTCTTTTTATTCCGTCTCGTTTCTCTTTCAAAACGCGCGTGGATTCTCGACGATCGACGATCCCGCGACCGTACGCAGCAATAACGTCAGCCTACTTCGTAAAACCACATCAAGAGAAAGAAAAAGAAGAAGAAAAAAAAGTCAGACCAAAAGCATATTCAGCCTGAAGAAGCGTGCACCGTGTCTGTAAGAAACGTAGCTTTGTCATTCCTTCCGTTAAGACAGAGCTGGCTAACTGGCGGCTCGCGAGCCCCTACTTTGCCCCAACTTTCTTGATCGCTAGCGCTATTCCTTCCACTTGCTTAGAAATCAACAGACTGAGAGAGTGGGATTGATGCACGGCAAAGAAATTTCAATGTAGTGAAGAGATGCAATGGAGGGGATGATCGCGTTAGCGATCAGGAAAGTAGGGGCAAGAGCCCGCGGGCCGCTAGTTAGTCGTCTTTGCGGTTGAGATGTCCCGTTTTCATCACAGGCTCGCGTAAGAATCCGTGACCTCGCGGTGTTGAAGTGTCACCGCTCGCGAGAAATTCTCGAAGAAATTTACGTTCCTAATTAGAGTACATTTCTCCTTCCACTTAAGGTTCCACGTTTCCATACTTTTCGCGAAGCGAAACTCTCGATCGAGCGTAAATAAACACGGATTCTTGCACACAAACACGCACGTACGAAGTGTACACTACGAGACATCGGCAGAACACCGTAAACGCAGAAGTAAAAAGGGAAAAAAAACGAAACGAAACTACTTTTCGAAGTAATGGTAAAAAAAAATCAAGAAAGAAAGAGTGGAGAGAGAGAGAGAGAGTCTCGATAGGCGCAGAATTCGTTTTACGTCAAGTTTAATCTATAAAAGTCTTCCATTCCTTCCTCAACGTGTATTCGTCTATGTATTCGGCTGATTGGTTATGGACATGGAGCGCACGACAATGTAGCGTGATGATTCTCCGGGGGAAAAAAAAAAAAAAAAGGAGAGGCCGAGCACTGACGGATCGTCGGTTCTCGACGCGCGTTCCTCTCGAGACGCGAAAGATATCGATCGACTTCACCATCGAACGCGCGGTATATCGAAAACGCGTGCCTCTCGACCCGACAAACGTTTACCATCCTTAATTTAACAAATCACCGGGAACGCGGACGAATTTCGGCCGGACGCGGTTTAACCGTGATGCTCGCGCACGAAACGACGCCAACGACGCGCCGTGTAAACGCGTTAATTACATTTTCGGCGTTTAAATGTTTTCGTCCGATTGCACGAACGCGCGCGCACATAGGCACAGAGAGACAGTGGAGCAAGAAGAAACAGAGACGGAGAGAATAATTCGTTGGACGATCGAAAATCTCGCTGCATTACGATTTAAACAAAATAAAAAAAAAAAAAAGAAATAAAAAGAAAAAGAAGAAAAAAAAGAAAGAGGGAGAGAAACGCACGGCAGACGAAACTATTCCAGCCAGCGTGTAATCGAATCGTAAACCGTAAGTCGGTTATGGCGATTCAGAGGACCAGTTTTCGATTGCGATTTTCCACCTCAATCCCTCGCTCCATCGCCACCCTCTCCCCTCCCCCTACCCACCCACCCACCCACCCCCGAAGGGAGACAATAACGCTCCGAGGAATATAATGGATTTTATACAGAGACTCCAGACCACTGCTGCTCTTTAATTCGTTCGCGGTTCCGCGGAGAAAGAATTACACGGAGGGAAGAATGTATATTATACACAATTGTATCTATAGTTTATTCGTTAAGGAAGTTCGTTCTTATACAACGAAGTTGCAACTTGATTCGCGCTCGACTCGCGTAAAAATCAAATCCTCCGCGTTTGTTCGCCATCGACATCGACGACAGAGATTACTTCAGCGAAACTCTCGACCGTCCGCCCGACAGATCCCCGCCACTCCTGCGTTCTCTCTCCGGCCGGGGATTTTTCGGGAAAAATTTCCAGCGAATTCCGGCGAATTTCTAACGCGTCTTCGCTCGCGATTAAACCGCGCCCGTTGCACGCGGTGCATTTTTCACGAACGAAGGCTACTTGTTTCGTCTTGGAGTGGAGGCCGCGCGAATTGGCGGGCCGACGAAATATCCGCTAAAAGTTTAACAAGCCAAGGCTCCGAGCACGCGTGAACGGGCTAGATGCGCTGCGTTCTCGCAGAATTTCCGCGAATGGCCGCGAAGCAGGTGTTCGCAAGGAGTACTTCGACCAAGGTCGAGAGTCGGTACGATACGCTGATCTAGCAGACCGGTCTCTCGCTCGTCCAAGAAAGGAAAAGAGGAAAAGAGAGAACTGAACGCTCGAGGTTACCTCGTCGCGAATCAGATTCCGGGCTCGTTGCTCGGCTGGATAAAGTCGCTGTAAAACGCGTTCGATACGAGCGAAAAAGAAAATGAAACGCGCAGGACGATTCGTGTCAACCGTGTTTCAGAGCTCGCCGATTTGTTTGCTCGTCCTCTCCGTCTGGCTGGGAAATGCTTATTGCGGATATCGGAAACGCCGGTTTCTCTCCTGCGTGGTCGATAGGTGAAAACGCGTTTCGGAGAGAATAGAAACGGTGGAATAAAAGGTGGAAACGATCATAAATTATTGAAAGAGAGAGAAAGAGAGAAAGAGAGAGAGAGAGAGAGAGAGAGAGAGAGTGAAAGTGAGAGTGAGAGAAAAAAGGTGAGAAAACAGAAGGAGAAGCAGTGAAATATGGAGGCAATAATACTGAACGTGTCTTTTATGGAGAAAACCGAAGCATATTTCTGTACAGTTGTAATAATTTTATGGTTGACTGTGTGATAACGGTTGCGTTCTGTACATACAAACACGATACCGCCTTAGTTTCTCGAGTATATTCAAACGATGTACAGGTTTTGCGTGGTTTTTACCTACTTATATAAAGAAAGAGAAAGAAAAAGAAGAAGAAGAAGAAGAAGAAGAAGAAGAAGAAGAAGAGGTTCGAACGATCTTGTTGAGCTTGATTTTACTGTATATCAAGATGTTATAGCGATTCTATAGTATATATGATATAAATTATAAATATTGTAATTATTTCTTCGAAATTTCTCCGGACGAGGACGAAAAGAAGAGTGAGAGAGGTCTGGTGGAAACGATCGGAGTGCGAAGGATGGAGATTCGTTCTCCACAAAAAAAAAAGAAAAAAGAAGGAGAAAAAAAGAAAAAGCCGGCAACGATAAAACAGGTACTTCGCAGAGCGCTAGCTTTGAATTTTAAATGAAAAGGAAGTTGAGCTTGTGTGATGTGAGTTGAGAGAGGACCGGGGAGAAGGAGAGACAGTGACAAAGAGAGTAATAATTAAACGGGGCTTTCGGGAAAGGAAGTGGGGAATAAAATACGAAATGAATGCAAGTACGAAGCAGCTTTACTGGTCTAACGTTTCGCTGTGTCCGTTGTGCTCGAATTGCCTGTTTTTACAGCAACCCCGGATGTTCGGTCTATCGATTGAGTCCGATCGGTCGATCGTCGTCGTCGTCGTAGGGGTTCGACTCGAACGATCGATCGTTCGTCAACGAAATCGTTAAGATGGTCAAGGAATACGAGTACTACGATGTATACTGACATTAAACGAAAGGAACTATCAGTACATTACGACTTTGTTTTATAAAAGAAAGATGAAAAAACAAATCGACCTGTGTTCTCTTTTCCGACACCTCCTCGACCTTTTCGCGCACACTGTTCCATCAGAATAATTACATTATCTGCCGTCTACTGACAATTTTCTTGCTACCAAGTCTAGTAATTCTCTTCGTTGAATTTGATTTGCACTCTTTCTGTTTACTTTCATTGTCTTCGTTCTTCTCCGAGGGATGTGAGCAGGTAAGTGTTCCGACGGTGAAATTCAGAAATTGTTCGAAAGAAGTATTAATCAGAGCAGAGCCCTTCAACTTTCCGCGTTGATACGATATTTAGTAACCGTGGATTTATGAAGGCTTAAATAAAGCTACTTATAGAGTAAATAACTTGCAGAGTTGAGAACTGACGGAACTTCGCAATTCTGATAATTTTGGCGCAACGAAATTCCGCTCAACTTCTTCGAAATATCGGGGCCAAGTTTTAAACAATAGTCATGCTCGAAAGTTGTTAATAGCAGTTCCAGATGAGCTGTCGATCAGGTTTCGCCAAGAACAACCATTAAATCGTCGCTCAGTGTCGATCTCGACAAGTAGAAATAGAAAGCCGAGACTTTAACCATTAATCTGCCAGTAGAAACAGTGAAATTTCGTGAAATTTCGTGTAATTTCCTCGAAATTTCATTTTTCTTTCAACGTTCCACGTTTTCAGAAGCGGAGACTTATCGCTCGAATCTTTCCTTCGCCTGCCTGTAATCTTCAAGATCCTCCATCTTTTTCAAGAAGATGACAGTTTTCTTTTTTATAGATCTGATTGTGAACGAATCGAGGCGTATCTTTACGAGCTGACGCACAAGAAAGAAAAAGGAGGGTAGTATAATAAATATATGATAAAAAGACGAGCGTACTAGCTGCCGTGCGCCGTATATAAGGATCAGAGAATTGGAAAGGCAAAGATACTCCGATAGCCCGCGCGAATCCACTCTGGAATAGAATTCAATTCCACACTTCGATTTTCCTGGACCTATTGTGATGATAGTGGCCTAGACCGATTTCCACGAGCGTAAGCGAGCATCAATCCGATTGGCCTCCGAATGAGTTTCGACTTGCCCCGTCTATCGCGGTATCTGTACGCGCGATACGAACTTTCCGAATGCCGGATGCACGCATCCTTTAAGCTGATCGAAAAGCAGAAGACCGTAAAAACTATTTCCAATTAATCCATCAACACAAAATGCTTGTATCCTTGAGGGTTTTTAATAATTGCCACGTTAATTGTTTGCTTTTAATTGTGTAATATTATCTCACATAAGAAATGTTTCTAGAGTACGATGAATTAAATAAAATTTACAAAGGGGCGAAGTTAGGAACTTTCAATTAATTTTTTAATAAAATCTGTAACGCGTTAATTGCCCCTTTATCCAGTTTCGAGATAAATGAAATAACACGATTTCGATTTGAGTTGGAATGTCTCATTTGAGCCAGAATTCATTGAAGTGAATGATAAAATTATACTTTGCTCATTGCCTTCTCGTCTCAAATGAAACAAAAATAAAATTATATATTAACGCTGGCGTGAAAATGCACGTTACATTTATTTATTTAAATTCAATTCGGTCGTCCACCCAGAGCTAACTAGAAACGCGCATTATTTAAGGCACTACACGCGAACTACATCTGCCGCAATATCCACTGAGATTCGAATCAAATTTATCGAGGTGGTCATCGCGACAACTCCAGTGCGCGATTGTTCCGTGAATACAGCGCCGGTATCATCTCGGTAATAACAATTTGCATCTCGAAAGCCGTGGCCTAGGAACCGACTGCGTTCACCCCCGATTGATTCATGTGCTTTGATTCCTGTGCACTTCGTGTACAATGTGACACAGCCTGAGAACACGTACGCCTGAACTTGGGAGTGGAATGAGACGGTGATTCGCCGGAGATGGAAGGAGTATCGGTGGTGAAAGGGATGTCTCGAAGTGAATTCACAATCGGTATCGATCGGCCGTCGTTAATTACGATCTACTTGGTTATTAAGTAATTCTGACAATGAGTGGATTAGCGATGATCTGCTTTGGCAATTGGTGTTGACGAAACTTACAATTAATTAGAATTAAATACAATTACAATTAATTGCGATACGCTTATTGCTCCCTCACGATTTAGGAATTTTATTACGTTCTGTGTTGTGTGTATTGTTTATCGTTGTTTGGATGTGAATGATCATTTCTTGAAAGTAGCAGTATAAAATTTTATTTGGAAAATGAGCGCATTTGAGAAAATAGTAGAATATTTGTCTATAATATTTTGCAAATAAAATTCCATTTCTTCTATTTAGATTAAAATGAAATTTAATTACGCCGAATAATTATAAGAGGCTTCCACATTAAAGAGCACAATTGTCCAAATCAACGTAAAAATAAAACATTGTTTTAAAAATATCCAACTATCTTCAGGCAATTTCCACTTACCGTGAAAAATGCAACGCGGTTTCACTGTTTAATTTAATATTGGACTCGTTATTCATTGTAACAGAAAGTGAGACTAACGAAACGAGCATGTTTCACCCTTTTGGAGATACAGTTCCGTTATAAACGATCGATAAGCGATCAAAGTGTTGGCAAACGAATGTCTCGTCATTAATTCCTCCTCCCTCCATTTGCGGTGCCTGGTTGGAGAAAGCGAGAGAAACTTTTTTCTCCCGAACCAGGGCTGGTCGAGGTGAAAAGCGTCAGAATACTAATCGACAAAGAACGCGGTTCGGAATGTCGGATGAACGTGAATTCCT